ATCCATGACCAGGCAACTACACTGCTGCATTCTGCCAAAGATTCCAAGCCTACTGAATACCTCTCCTTCCGACCCCTGTCCAAAAACAGGAGGACCGAACACTCCCCAGTACATTTCCCTAGGCCGCCCTCCGTCCCCTTCCACCACAGCCACACAAGGACACTGTAAGACACAGGCCACACCCCTACACGACAACGGGTGTGACGTGCCCATGATACAACGGCCAGGGTTCCTTTCTTTGCTCACCGTGCTGCTTTCACACAGGAGCCTAAAGAAGTGTCTCTCTTCCAAGGCTTTAAGAGCCACTTCAGAACTGGGCAAATACAATGCTCACTTCATCACAAACATCTGAGTCACTGCTCACAGATGTGCACTACGAGTTGCTTGCGCTCCACTACCACCACCCTTCCAAAACTTGGAGAAGCCTGATTCAGCCTGTTCAGCCTTACTCTTCAACCTAATTACAACAAATGACAAAACATTGCTTCCGGGTTCTGACAAACCGCAGCAGGGTGCTCCTGAACTGTGAGCGTCCTTGGCATATTTCCTTTCCCTGTGCTCAGGGCCCTGACTTGCATGTTTCACACCTCCTTCAAACCAGCCACTTACTTACACGTCCTGCAGCAGGGTCAAGCTTCTCCAGTTCCTTACGGGATTATGACAGTGCATGTACACTACACACATGCAGACAGTTACCTCTGCAATACAGCCTTTCTTACTTATTATGCACACACTACACATAGTAAAATCCTCACCAGTGTATCAGCAGACCACGTTCCACGGCACATTACACGGGTCACGCACCAGGACCCAGTGAAATGGACCCCCGGGACAAAAGGATGCTTCACCACCCACAAGTCAACGGATACGATACACACATTCACCAAACACTGGCTACAATGCATACCGTCATCTTATACATGCCAAAAAACCACTCACCACAATTCATCACACATCATGCAAACCCTCCATACAGGGAACACACATCCGCATCATAGACTTCACACACGACACACCCACACCTACCTACCTACCGCCGTAGGCACTGGGCACACCTCACAGCTTTCCCTGCACCGTCAGGAATCAGACAAGGGTGGCCACTCTCACCACTTTTATTCAACATGCGGCTGGAAGTCTGAGGCCGAGCAGACACTCAAGAGAAATTCATACAACGCGTCCAAACTGGAAAGGAAGACTGCCTGTTCTCTCCATTTGCAGATTACATGACATACAGAACACCCAGGGGACTCCACCAAGACACTCTGCCAAGACTTCAGAAACAAACACAATCAGGAACACTCCCATCCAACAGCACTATACAGCCGTGCGTCGCACGCCACGGCACTGACACCGCACTATCAGACACACTACCACAGTACATACATGTGCAATGGCATCCGCATGAATGCAATACCTAACAAACAATACACGTAACCAAGGACGTGAAAGATCTACACACGGAACACTGACATCACTGCAAGACATCGAGGACAACACACATCCATGGAAAGTGACTCAGTGCTCACAGATTAAAACACTTGCACTGCTGAAATGTCCACACCACCGACTGCAATCCACCGATTCAGCGACTTCCCCACGAACAGTGCCAGGGCCCGTTCCACCCACTTACAGTCATCCTGCACTACGTGTGAAACCGCAACTGACCGCCACAGCCACGGCACACTTCAGCCAACCCACAGCGGAACGCACCGCACGCCCGGATGTGACCCTACATTACATACCTACGCTCCTCAAAGCACTACGGCACTGGCATGAAACTGACACACACATCACGGGAACAGAATACAGGGAGTCCAGACGCTCCCCTGGCATACGTGGTAAATTACTTTATGACAAACGAGCCAACAGTACATGATGGGAAAAGGCCAGTCTTCTCCGTAAGTGATACTACGAAACCAGAACAGCCATAGGCCTCAGGACGACGCTGCACACGCTATCTCACTCCACACACCAAACACAACTAACCATTCACGGCTGACTTGAACAGAAGACCTGAAACCGTACACCTCAGCACATACATAGGGAGATTCCTCCTTGGTACTGGTCCTGAGAATGCCTTTTCACATTTCTCACCATAAAAAGCAATAGCAACCAAACCACAAGGAACACCTGCGGCCCACATCCAACTTAACGCTTCCGCACAGCTACGGAACCCAACAAAGTGACGAGGCAGCCTACAGACGAACAGGAAACGTTCCCTGCTCACGCATCTCAGACGGGGCCCGTATCCAACATGCACACAGAACTGACACTCCTCCTCAGTATCCAACACTCACTCCATCTGACTTCACCACGGGCAGAGGATCTCCAAAGACATTTGTACAAACATCACATACACACGGCCAACGCACACATGCCACGATACTCAGCCACTCGTCACAGACACACAAATCAAATCCACCGTAGATGATCACCTCATACCTTTCATAACGGGCAAAATCAGTAAGACAAGACATACCAAATGCTGGCAAACACGTGGAGACAACGCACTCCCGACTCATGGCTACTGCAACTGAAACCTCGTACAGCCACTATGAGAACCCACACTGCAGTTCAGTTCCTCCAGGCACGCACTTACCACTGCAATTGCCATGTGATCCAGCAACTCCACTTTTGCAGTGCTACGCAGAGGAAACGAACACACAGGCTATCAGACGCGTTTCTGCACTCCCGTGTTCCTCCCACCACTACTCAGCCACATCCAGGACACGGACACAACCTGCGTGGTCACTGACGGCTCACTGCACACACACGCTGCGCTGCACATCTACACCGGCAACTGTGCCCAAGAACAGGAAGGACCTCCGGCCACCTCTGACAACACGCGTGGACCTTGACGGCAATACTCTTAAGTGAAAACACTCGCCCAGAGACAGACAAATACTGCCGGCATCAGTTACACTGGGAATCCTAAACAAAAAACAAACACCCCACACTCAAAGACAGACGAGCTGGCTGCCAGGGGCAGGGAGGCACAGGGAAAGGCTGGTGCCAGGCTGCACACTCACAGCCACAGGACTGAGGTCAGAGGGTCCCCTACAGCGTGCGGACTGCACCTGATCGCACGGTGACACTGCACTTCTCTACGACAGCAGACTTCACGCACTGCCCCGAGCGGACACATACATACGTGCGCTTTGGCACGGGTGACTTAGCTTGCTGGGAGACTCCTTTCACGCTCTGTAACTTTCTCAAATCACCACAACGCACCCTTCCCCTGTCTTACTATTTCATCACTCACTGACCCTTCAGGAAACCTACCATAAAACAATCCAGTTCTCACATTCAACAGAATACCACTCTCAGTTACTAACTAACAAACAAACAAATGAAATTAAAAACTACAAGACTGGACCCCCCAGAGAGAAAGCAGACAACAAGAAGAAACTAACAGAGAAAACAACTCTCCCACGTACACGGCCCCAGCAGAGACCCCGAGGATGAAACGCAGGCAACCTTGAGGGGAACCCAGAACCCGGAACAAGTATCAGACACAGACACTGAGACAGTATTGGACGGAGAGACTACTCCACGTTCTCAGGTGCTCCTGAAAACTCATGTAGCTAGACGACTACGAATTGACCTTCATTTGGATTCTCTTCCGATTTCAGCAAAACACCTCTGAACACGGACATTTCCCTTAATACATTCCTTTCCCTCACACTTGTCTTCAAGCGAGTTCCGCCGCCTTAGAATTCCTCACAACACGTATTTCGTCCGCTTGGTGGCAGGCACTGCATTCAACCCACTGAGCAGAGAACAGCCACTCTTTCCTAAGATTCTGCAGTCTTTCTTTATACAATTATTCTGGCTCGAACCTTTACTCCTCCATTCACTTACATGACCAACTTTCCTCCCTGGAGGCCGACTCTTACACGGCTACATTCTAATCACTAGGAAACCAATTAGATACTAGGGCTCTCCACTTAAATGCATTACGTTCACAGGACTCTACACATGCACAAAATGTTACCAATGACAGGACCCAGGAATAAAAGGCAACTCACACTGGTCTCTGACCAGGGCACCTGACCGTCCACCACTAGACAGTGGGGCAGCTCCTGAGCTTACTTTCAGCGTCCATTTCATGCTTCTCCACACACAGCATACCTCTCTGGCTAGCTTCACTCTTAATTCCACACTTCCACTTCCAGTGTGTCCTTCTGTGTGTGATTCAGCTGCACTCATCACTTCATTTCAGTTCCACATGAGGTTGAGCCGCTACATGTGGAGCAGCCTACGCTCACCTGTGACGCTGGATGGAAGGGCTGTGCCAAAGAGCACTTCATTTCTCAACCTGCTTTCCTTTACCAGCCCCAAACTTTGCCTCCTTCCCCATACCTGCTCAAATTAACACATTCTTCCGAATTACTGAACACTATTAACCTCCGTTTTCACTTCTTTTCTTTTCTAAAACACCTGTAAGACTATCTGATACTATGACCGTTGTGGTTTCCCACTTCACACTTCCGTGTATCCCTCCACACAGTTCACAGTCTTCGGAATCGACAACTACAGTTAATAAAGCATTCCTTACATGGTCCGAGGGAAAGCACCTGACCCAACACTGCTGCACACTAAAACCCACAACAGGGCAATCTACTGGGATTGCAATTAAACCCTTTTCCTACGGTGAGTTCCCACGTGGACTACACCGGGGCAGTTCGGAAAGGCATCCTAACAACTCTATTTCAGCGTTTTCCTTTCTGCGTCTCTTGCCCACAGGAGGACTACACCGACTGCGGTGGCGTTTCTGGATTAACTCCCTCCCTGTGGTCCATCTTCGGGGTCCAGTGTGCACTACTTTGGCTTCTCTCTGGCAACACACACTGCCAGCTATGACCTTGTACAACCAGATCTACATGTTACACTCCGGACCCTGCCAAGCCGTCAGCCCTCAGTTGCATGGAAATACGGTCGACTGAGGAACCAGCAGAACACTTGCTGGGCCCCTCCCATGGCATCCATCTACGACGCTGACGCAGACGGCGCCCACTGGCCGGCCGTCGGGCTGTCGACCCTTGCCCTCGAGTCAGCGCCGCATCACCCACGAACTCCATCACGGCAGAACTCTCTACCTGCGCTACCGGACACTGGGAGGCTTTCTTGTTGCCTGGCTGGTGATTCTATGTACACGGGCTCCCCAGACAGCTGTGTATGAATCACACAAACTCTATGGACTTTGCCCTGACATTCTGACCAACTGCAGTTCCTTTCCTTTTCCCAGAAAACTCTAAGTGAAAAAAACCTTCCTTGCACCCTCACTTATTCTTCAATTAAACATGCTTCCCTGCTTTGACTAGCTACTACTGAAAACAAAACACACAGACACTGAGAGAACTGACATAGACGTAAACTATCAAAGGAGACATGGCTACTATTCTACAAAAAAATTCCCATGAATAAAATGCCTTACAAAGAATGGCTTCCCTGCCAAAAATGGAACACGAATGCTGACCAAGTGAATTTTGCAGTGGTAGTGACTTGGTTGCTTGAAAACAATGACTACGAAATTATTACACAACAGGTGCTTGAGGGTAACATTTCCATCTGCGACACAGCTCCCCTTAAATGTATGCCCTTACCAACGCCTTCCATCTAACGTTCTTTCCGTTCGTAGGACGGATCGTTCTGCAGTGCTGGCCTGACATGTGACAACGCTCCAGAAACAGCTCGTGGCGGGGACGGGAAACCTTTTCTCTTGCGATACATGACCCTGGCTAACCAAGGGGACTTTGCATGACGCTGCTGCCGCTTCACCTTTCGGTTTCTGTCCCTCTTACTGTAGACTGTAGTCCGTGGAAAGGTTCCCTGCGTGACATGATTCCTGTGTAAGACCCTGACCCTTGCAGTGTAACGCACTGAAGTCATCTTCTACATCTGTCGTTAAACTACTCTGAATATACTGTGCGATGTGAATGACGGATTTGCTGAATGATGACATGGTAATTCATGGACTTCATACAGACTCCTGCTTTTGCCTGAGAGACCTGTGTACAGAAATTTTAAGTACATACTCAGATTTGACACATTTATTTTTGGAAGAGTACATATATGTTCTCAAAGAAGACTCATCCTAGGCTTCCTCTTCGTTCGCTGGAACTGCGGCATATACAATCCACCGTTTCCCGCTGCTACTGCTGCTTTTGCCCCTCCATTTTCAACGGTATCACCACTTGACCCTATACTTCCATCCACTTTGATAACGGTTTAAAATTACTCTGAACAAATAGGAAACCTGGACTCTGTCCGTATGCACATAAATATTTGATTGTGCTTCATCTGAATTGTTTTCATGCAGCCTCCTTACCACGAATGCTTACCGTACTACACTTAATATTTCATTATATAGTCATATGCGACCAGACTAGATTCATCCAAACATCATTTTCAGGACTAACCCGTATTTGAAGACACGGTAAAAACACTGACTCTAACTCTTAACCACAGTGACTAGCTCCGCGGAAGGCTGGAAGCATGCAGGCTTTCTGACCGGTAGGATGCATTGGTTCTTTTCTTCACATGATCCAGCACACCTTAGTCCACTTCCTGTATCACAGACATAATCCATTCTTCACCATAGTTTAAAAGACGCATTCCTTTTGTTTTCCCCTTTGCATGGATTTGTAATTCCCTCCACCACCAATATACCCTGGGCACCGTTCCTGTACCTTTCCTTATTTAAAATAACTTTTCCATATGCACAAGGTGCTGGATTCAATCCCCAGGACTTTCATTACAATAAAAACATAAATAAACATAAACCTTCTTGCCTCTCCCCTCAAAAAACCAATTGCCTAACTAACTTTTCCTTTAAAAATGAGCGGATAGGGAAATAGAGTCACTTTGCCAACTGTCACACAGACTTGCCATCCGTTACCACTTGTAACACATTGCTGTGATCTCGCAGTCCCATTTCTACCTGGTATTGACATCTCAGAAAACAGCACAGTGATTTCCAAAAGGATGGAACTCCTCACTCTACTGAAAACACGTTTACATCCTCTTCTTTGCTACTTCAATAGCTAACACTTACGCTTACCTTTTGCAAGACTATTTTATTTTCATCACGAAACTGCAGGGAAGGGGATATCAAAATATCTACCCATGGGAGTTTCTCTGTATAAATGCCACACATCCAAACAACTGCATTCCTTCCAGCGTACAACAGACTACCTTCCAGTGCCCGTTAACATCTCCTGCATCTACTCTCATGGCTGCTGTCAGCGACCTACGTTTTCATCACCTGCACTGCTGCTGCCTTCAGCACAGTGGAACTTGGCATCTCTTCGCAGGGCCCTGTTTGGCTCCCTTCACCGTCAAAAGCTATTTACATGCCCGAGTCTTGCCGCGACCTTTTATTTCCTGTTACACAATACATTCATATTATGACAGTGACCTCCCTGGCACTAAATACACTATCACCATGCTCTCAGACGGCAACTTCCTCTCATGCCTACTACTCGGCTTCA